CTGAAGAGCGTGGTGGTGAACGCCCGGCCCAGAGAGCATGTCACGTTAAAAAAGGTGACACCCGTGATGAGGGAGCTGTTGCAAATGACAAACAAAACAAAACAACACTGACAGATGATATAAAATGTTTAACTATTTGGACAGAAATTTCTAGGTGATTGACAGTTCTCTCCGAGTATTTTAGAAGCTCTATGTTAAAGTAAGAAAAAGAATCCAAGCCGTCATTGCTAATTAAAGGGAAAACACACATCACACAATAAATGAAACAATCATAAGAGACCACTTGGTCCAGCACAGAACATAATATTCAAAATGATAATAAAGTGATATTAATGTAAAATCAAATATCGTGATAGACAAGAGACGAATTTTAGGTGGATGAGAAAAATAGAGGTGAAAATGGTTGTGTAGACAAGAGAAATCTTTTAACCAATACATCAAAGGCCAATAGATACATACTGTCTAAAATTGATAATGTAAGAAAAAATCATAAGCATAGTCCTTAAAACATAGGGATCGAAATAAAGAAGTGAAAGGGATTCATTCTGCAGGACAATCTGGGCCCTGGAAATGTGGGTTACAAAAAACGGGCTGGTGTTTTTAATGTCATACTTTTAGTACTCTGTGATTTTTTTTAAAATACAATGTACATATTATGATAGAATTCCAAGTTTGACATTTAAATTATTTGTCACGTTTCTGCACTTTGTACGGCTTGTAGATATGTTCCCTGCAAAACTTTGGCATAACCCAAAACACATCTCCAAGTTACATTTCTCAATAAGCTAAAAATAGGACACAGGATTCACCTGAAGTTTACTAGCCCTTCTCTGAGCAGGTTGGATTAAAGTGCTCCTAGAGACTACTGAAGTGTTTACAGTTCAAACTCCTGAGGCACCTCTTTATAAATCTACTCTCCCGTCGCTCTCGAGAACCCCCAAGTCCTTGTGTGTCACCTGGTTTGAGGATTATCCGCTCACAATTTCTGATGCACACTGTGGGAAATGTTTTTGGAATAACACTGTCTAAAGTCATTTATAAGATATTTGAATATTTAGGGGCGCCTGGGTGGCTCAGTCGTTAAGTGTCTGCCTTTGGCTCAGGTCATGATCCCAGGGTCCTGGGATTGAGCCCCGCATCAGGCTCCCTGCTTGGTGGGAAGCCTGCTTCTCCCTCTCCCACTCCCCCTGTTTGTGTTCCCTCTCTCGCTGTGTCTCTCTCTGTCAAATAAATAAATAAGATCTTTCAAAAAAAAGATATTTGAATATTTAGTAAGATGTCAGGGCAAAGACTTTTTTTTTTTTTGAAAGATTTTGTTTATTTATTTGACAGAGAATGAGCGAGAACAGGAACACAAGCAAGGGGAGTGGCAGAGGGAGAAGCAGGGAGCCCAATATGGGGCTCAATCCCAGGACCCTGGGATCATGACCTGAGCCCAAAGCAGATGCTTAACGACTGAGCCACCCAGGCGCCCCAGGCAGACTTTTTAAATGCCCACCACGTGTCACCATGGTCTACCGTAGACAATGAAAATTATATCTTAAAGTTATTTATTTTCCTCCTCCAACACCATGTTTCTCTTTGTTGAATTGTTTACAGCGCCAGTGGTAGGACTGTCAATATTTAAAGGATAAAGATATGTTTTATAAATGAGCCCGCTGAAACCATTTCTAAAGGCTGGCCAGGATTTACTCGGGTCCATAAATAAATTTCTGTGTTAATGCCATGCCATGATTTCAGAAATTACTCACAGTCCCTAACACATGCAATCTTTTCTGGCTGTTGAAAATATACAAATAATAAGATCCCTAAAACTACTGTGTTAGCATTGTTCAAGTAAAGGACTTTAGGAGTCCAGAGGCACTGGTGGGCTACTCCAAATCAAGAAGGCAGTGGATATTTCCTATGGAGCTAGGGGGTCCACAGGAAAGGATCAAGGGGAAATCTGAAGAGGGAGAAATCAGAGAGGGAGACAAACCATGAGAGACTATGGACCCTGGGGAAACACTGAGGGTTTCAGAGAGGAGGGTGGGGGGAGGGGGTAACAGGGTGATGGGTATTAGCAAGTGTTGTGATGAGCACTGGGTGTTATATACAACTAATGAATCATTGAACACTACATCAGAAACTAACGATGTACTATATGGTGGCTAACTGAACTAACTAACTAAATAAATAAACTGGAAAAAAAAATAAAAGGGTCAAGGGGGAACAAAAGCATTTGAAGCAGAGAGAAAAGCATGGAGTGGTCAAACGGGATGCCTGGAATTATATTTAGATAATTGTGAGAGGCTCTCTGCAGCTGGAATCCAGGACACAGAAGGTGAAATGTCAGGGGATACAGTTACTCAAGGGACTAATGTGTGGAACGCCTGCCCTATGCAGATGCTGCCGAATGTGCTTTGCAGATGACAACTCATTGACCCGGACCGAGATTGTAATACTTTCTCAGGATATGGGAAACGACAAAACTTTTGAGGAAAGAAGTGATCTGATAAAATTTGTTTTAGCAGAAAAATGTTGCAGACAATAGTAAGGAAAGACTAAGGGTGTGGGATGTGGGGGATGTGGGATGTCTCAAAGGAAAAAAAAATTACAAATCACTGTCCATATAGTTGAATTATGAAACTTACAGCACAATCAGTAAAGGAAAGAATGCCTCTCAATATGGTTAGAGATAAAGAAAGAAGTCGATGGAAATTAAAAAGTTAAACGTAACTACAGATGTATTTTCTTGGTACTTGAGTTACATTTCTGAGCAGTAACGCACTTATCAAATATTTATGAAAATCATATTTAAAATTTTAACTTTCAGAATCATTTCAGAGTGTATATATTGCTTATTACTGATGGCAACAGAGATTTGTATTTTGACATTCCAATCTTGAAGCATCTTTACTTGTAAGGAAACATTTAAAGATAGCTAAAAACAAAAATTTCTATTTAAAGGGATTTTTTGCATTTACTTGCAAAGTGTAATATTTACTTAATGATATTTGCATGTGAATAACAACTGTGCTGAGTTACATTTCTATAACTTTAAATTTGTGGGTCCTGCTTCCCTAAGGCTGTAATGAATATGATTAGCAAATATGTAACATAAGCTATTATTTTTGTTTAAAGAAGTAAGTTGACTTTTAAAGATATTAAATAATTGGAAATATCTAAAATATTAAATATTAAAATGTATAAGTATATATTTATCCATGTCATTCCCTTTCTTGCACTCTTGACTCTTTGTGAAAATCCATATTCATCTGGTGTCATTTTCCTTCTAGCAGAAGAGCCTCCTTCAACAAGGACAAGTTTCTCTGTACTGCAGGTCCACTGGTGGGGAAATCTTCAGGTTTGGTAAATCTGAAAAAGTCTTTTATTTGTTCATTTGAAAAGATTTTTTTTTTTTTTGCTAGCTATATAAATCTAGGATGAAAGATTTTTTTTGTTTCATTGGGTTAAAGATATTGTTAGATTTTCTTTTTCACTTGCATCATCTTTTGATGAATAATCTGCTGACCTCTTTAGTTTTGTTTCTCAGTATATTATGTGCCTTTATAATTGACTTCTTTTAAGATTTTGTTTTTATCACTAGTTTTGAAAAATCTTATTGTTATACCACTTGGTGTAACTTTCTTCCTCCTCTTCCTCCTCCTCCTCCTCTTCCTTCCCCTTGTGCTCAAATTTCATTGAACTGCTTGCATCTAAGGGTTTATAATTTTCATCAAATTTGGTAAATTTTCAGCTGTTATTTCTCCAAATATCTTTCTTCCCCTTCACCATGGGTATGCCAATTTTTCTTCCTTACATTTAATGAAGTTTTCCCACACTCATTGATTCTCTGCCTGTTTCTTTTATTCCTTGTTTTATGGGTTCTTGCTGGGTCTTCGCATTCACGAATCTTTCCCTCCACAATGTTAAATCTTCCATTAGTCCCATCCAGTTTATTTTTCATCTCCAACATTGTGATTTTAATTTCTAGAAGTTTGATTCTGGTTTATATATAATGAACATATCTATATTTAACATTTGAGCGTATGGAATGCAGTTATAATAACTTTTTATTTTCCTCGTTTCCTGATTCTAAGATCTGTGTTATTTTTGGGACTGTTTCAACAGATTTTTTTTTCCATCATCATGGGTCATATTTTTCTTTGCATGCCTTGTAAATTTTGATTGGTTGTCACATATTATTAATTTCATTTTGTAGAGTGCTGAGTAGGTTTCTCTATAGAGAATATATATATGTGTGTGTGTGTATATATATATATATATATATATAATTTAGCTTTTCCCTGGGATTAATTTAAGTGATATGATCACTTTTTACATTGCTTTTAAAATCTGTTGGGTGATACTCGAACAATGTTTGGTTTAGGGCTTAATTCACTACCAAGGTCAAGACCTTCTAAATACTCTACCAAATGGTCCGCTATTAAACACATTTTCAAGTCTGGGTGGTAACAAGAAATATTCCAGACACTGTGTATTCCTGGAGGATGCTGCTCCCTTCAATTCTTTCAGGTACTTTCTTTACATGAATGTATCAATCAGTAATCTGTTGAATACCATAGAGGAGGAGACTCTACATATCTGGAAGATTCTCCAGTACTCTGTCCTATATCTAGCTGCCTTGATTTTCCTGGACTCTCAGCTCCAGCTCCTCACTCAGGAGTCTGCAGGGCTCCATCTAGGTTATCCCTCCAACGCTGCAGTTTGGAAACTCTCAAGGCGGTACACTGAGGCACTTTCAGATTAGATCCTCTGTTCCCCATTTCTCAGGGGTCACTGCCCTTCATTGCCTGCTATTCTTGAGGACATAGAAAACTGTTCACATTTATTTTGTCCAGGTTTTTGCATTTGTTTGTTTGTTATTTCAATTGGAAAGGGAATTCTGGTCCTTGTTACTTCATCTTTGCCAGCAGTGGAGTCCCAGAATATTGTTTTAATTCATTTGTAAATTTACTTATGAGACAACATAATGTATAAAAATAACAACACTTTACTCTGGGTATTAAATCACACATAGATGTAGCATTATAAGAAAATACAATCACAAATGATGGAGTCCTGGCAGACGAAACCATGTGACTACAAGATTCTTACATATTGCATAAGGTGCTATTTATACATTAGCTCTAAGTGGACAATGATAAGTTCAAGGTGATTTTTTTATATTCCTAGAGCAATCACTAAAATATAAACAAATAAACAAGCGAACAAACCAGGAAGTTTAGCTAAAAGCTAGTAAAGAAAATTTAATGGAATACTGAAAATATTAATCATCCCAAAATAAGGCAAGACACTTGCAACAAATAGTAAAAAATAAGTTAGAAGGGGAGAAAAATAGCAAAATTGGGTATTAAGTCCCAAAATAACGGTAACTAAATTAAACATAAACATACCAATTATGAGGCAGAGACTATCACTAGATTTAAAATAGAACAAGACCAACTATAAGCTATCTACAGGAGATGCATTTTAAAAATAAAGATGCAGGGGCACCTGGGTGGCTCAGCTGGTTAAGCATCTGCCTTCTGCTCAGGTCATCATCCCAGTGTCCTGGGATTGAGCCAGGGCGTAGGGCTCCCTGCTCAGTGGGGAGTCTGCTTCTCCTTCTCCCTCTGCTACTCCCCCTTGCTCATGCTCTCTCTCTCAAAATAAATAAACAAAATCCTTAAAAAAAATAAATAAAAAAATAAAGATGCAGTTTGTTAAAACTAAAATAATGGATAAAAATTAAGCATAAGAAAGCATTAGTGGTACTTTAAAATCAGTCAAAATATTCAGAGATAAGAGACATTAGCATAAAGACAAATATTTCAAAATGACCAAAGAATCAACTCCTAAGACATAGTAATAAATATATTTCATACTTCCCTCTTACTTATAGTAAAACATTTCAAAATATGCCCCAAATACAAAAGGATCCTTTCTTTTCATTCTCCTTTTGTCCTTTCTTCAGCTCTTTTCAGAAAATTTAAAATTCTTTAAGTAAAAGTATATATCTATAATGAAGCTAGTTAGGTAGGACAGGAAGTAGGTGGGGTATAGAGTTACTTGACATTCAGACATCATCAGTTAGAACTGTGTGCCACCCATAAGAGAGATTCCTAGTTTAATGCTATAAATTGTACCACACTCCCACTGTAAAATATTAAGTTAAATAACCATATGTATTAATTGTATGTCATATTAAGTGTCATACTTTCAACTCCTGATTACATGAGTCTGCTTTAATAGAAGAAAGCATCATTCTTCTGCATGTAGCTGTCCAATTTTCCCAACACCATTTGTTGAGGAGACTGCCTTTTTTCCACTGGGTGTTCTTTCCTGCTTTGTTGAAGATGAGTTGACCATATAGTGAGGGTCCTTTTCTGGGTTTTCTGCTCTGTTCCACTGATCTATATGTCTGTTTTTGTGCCAGTACCATACTGTCTTGGTGATTACAGCTTTGTAATGGAGCTGGAAGTCCAGAATTCTGATGCCTCTGGCTTTGGTTTTCTTTTTCAGCATTCCTTTGGCGACTTGGGGTCTTTTCTGGTTCCATACAAATTTTAGAATTGTTTGTTCTAGCTCTGTAAAAAATGCTGGCGTGATTTTGATAGGGATTGCACTGGATGTGTAGATTGCCTTGGGTAGTAGAACACTTCCTATTTGAATTTCACAAAAACCCTGGGGGAGGGGAAATATTTTAGTATCTTTGTAATGTTTATAGGTGAACATACATAGTTTTGAAAATCAATGGTCAACATGAAGAGTAATAGTTTTCAGATTTGAATGTAATATCTTTCAAAATTTGCAGGAAAATATATAAAAAACATTTTTAAAACTTTTACTACAAACTTTACCTAACCAGAAAATCCAAAAAGTTGTGGATTGCCTGACATGAAGCTCTGGAGAACTAAATGTTATTTTTATGAAATTTGACTTGTTTCGCTGTTTGGATTGCACCTGAACAAAAGCCAAGTGCTTTAGAATTTTACTTCGGGAAATGAAAGCTTCACACAACTCCACAGTCACAGGTGTGTACTCTTCTTTTTGCCAAAGTTCCCTATATTTGTGCATTTTAAACTGCATTTGTTCCATTGTTCCCTTTCAGCAAACGAGGTATTTTTTTGAGATTAATTCCCCAATTAATTCCCCCTATTTTAGCAAAAACATTTGCCTAAAATAAACTAGATTGTATTTATATTGTTTTTATTTGTTAAATGAAGTAAAATAAATATAAAGCATAATTTTATTGAGTTAATAAATGTACTCAATTGAATTTTTAACAGTGCTAGAAAGGATGTATATCTTGGTATGTGTCATGTATTTAAGAATATTTTTACCTTATAAATGTTGAACTTCAATAAAAACTTCCACAGTATAAATGTAATCAATCGTAAAGTATTTTATTTAGCCTTTCTTTTTTATATGTTTATCACTTTTTACTTATAATAAATATATTCTGATGTTTTGTTTTTGTGTCACCTTACCACATTTTTCCTGTTTTGTTTCATTTTGCAGAAGGTTGATACTCTCCCACTCCTCAAATTTTCTGGCTTCTGGTCCAGCCTGATTTCTTCTTAAAGAGGTCTGGATGGGTGGTGACCTCCCCAGTAGTGCTTGCCCAATTCCCTCAGGTGGCTGTTCCCTCCTTGGTCTTAGTTCCTGATATGGAAATGTCGGGGTTCAGAGCAAACTGTCAAGAAATAATTCTTCAGATGTCTTGGGTGCAAAAAGGTAGTTTTATTAAACCCCAGGGATAGGACCCATGGGCAGAAAGAGGTGCAATGGGGTTGTGAGGAATGACTGATTACATACACTCAAGTTGGGAGGGGAGTTGAGATAGCACAAGCCTCTGGGGAATTTTGGAAGCAAAGTTTCCAGGACCCTGAGGGGGCTAGCTATTGTTGGGAAAGGTCATTTATTACTGTTTAGTAAAAACTAAGTCATGAGACCTTTCAGATGTATATCAGTGGGCCTTATGCTTGGAGGGATGACTGCGAACATATATCTTGGGGGGACAAAGATAAAGGAAGTTTCCAAAGGAATTTCTTTATGTTTTAAAGTAGACTCACAGGATCCTGGGGTTGGGCTAAGATTGCCTTTTGCCCTTAGCAAAGTGTCAAAACATGGAGGCAGCTAGGCTCCCAGAGGAAGGTCACTCTGCCTGTTTCAGGGACTTGTCAAAGGGCTGTGAGTGGTAGGGAAATTTAATTTTTTCTTTTGCCCATGTTTCCCACATCAGTTTCCACTCAGAAGCCCCACTGTAGCTCCACATCCTCACATCTGGGATCACCAACTCCTCAGTTGTCTCTTCCAATCCTGGTTTGCTGTGACTAATCTCTGGGTTGTCTCAGTCTCCCCTGAATGCCCTTTTAATTTTTCTATCAATTTTGTAACCAGTTGCTATATTAAATCCTACCGATTACCAGGCGTGGATTTTGTTTTCTTGAATGGACTCTGATTTGAATAAACTAAATTTTTTTAAATTAAAATATAATTGAAAATTTAAACTTTATATTTAGGGTATAGGATAAGGTGGGTGTTTTATGACTTTTTCCTCCATATGATAAGCAGTTGCCCCACAAAATGTATATGGAAGCCCATCTAGACATTCTCTCTCCACATGTCATTGTAATAATATATCATATTTCTATGTAAGTCTCTTTAAGGTCGGTTTCTCTGATCTCCGTTTCCTGGCCTATTTTTCTCTACTTTCCCTAGTACTATATCCCTCTATTAATATAACATTATATTTAATTTTGATACCTCTTTATAACAGATATCTCACAAAATATTTTCCTTAAAGTTGTACTGACATACTCTTTACTTTTCTACGTGAATTTTAGGAAGAGCATGTCAGGTTTTGTGTGAAATTCTGCTGGTATAGCAAAACATTACAGATTAAAATTGATATCCTTCTTATACTTCATGTCCCTATACATGAATATTGTATATATCTACATTTATTCAAGAATTCTACGTAATTTAAAATGTTTTCTTTTTACTCAAGTAAACACACTACACATCTATTTACATGGATTCATGTATCCCTTTTATATTTTCTGGTATTATGAGTAGATTTTATACTCAGTCATATTTCACATCTGTATTTAAGAATTATAGGTGCTTTATATATTGATCTGGAATGCAATAACCGTACTTAGTATAAATTGCTGGTTGACCTATACAGTCTCTAATTTTTTTTTCAGTATATAATCTTATTATCTCTGAATAAAAATGATGATACTACTTTTCTCCAATCCCTATGATTTTATTTTATTTCTCTAGGTTATGGCACTAAAATTAATCCACATACTTTGTGTGAATTGAAACAATTATAGAGGCCTACTTGTTTTACTCCTGGCCTTATTGGGAAATTTCTCTTTGGGGAAAAAGGTGATTATAAGTTTGATAAATATATTTTATGGGTTCACACAAGCTCAGCTCTCTTCTTAGCTTTCTGGAAAAGCATTTTTTGTTGTTATTCATGAATGCCGAATTTAATTATTTTTATTTGCTAATTTAGTCTTGATAAATATTATGCTGTAGTTTTTAAATATCATTTTATTGGTTTTAAGGTCATGATTTTATGTTATTTTATATATTTATTGTAAAGGTTTAAAACTTTGTAACCATTTAAAACAATAAAATGAATTTAGAAACCTATCAGTATCCATGGTTATACATTTTATTGTCAGCTAGAAATAAATTTCATCTTCAGAAACCAAACACAAAATTCATGTATCACTTTCAAATAAATATGTACAATTAACTCACTTAAATCAATGTGTATATGCATGTGTATACACAAACATATTCACTCTTTACACTGTAATTTTTTTATGCAGGCTTTCTGTGTGTGCGTGTGTGTATGTGATTTTTGATTAAATAAAGCTATGGATAACATTTTAATGAGGATGATAAGATTTTTTACTCTTAGTTTTTCTTGTACTGAAATACATCTGTGTTTACCTGTCAATATTAAATGATTGCTGGGACACCTGGGTGGCTCAGTCGGTTAAACATCTGCTTCTGGCTCAGGTCATGATCTGAGCCCTGGGATTGAGTCCCACTTCAGGCTCCCTGCTCAGTGGGGGGGCTGCTTCTCCCTCTGCCTCTCACCCTGCTCTCTCATGCTCTCTCTCTCTCAAATAAATAAATAAAGTCTTTAAATGGTTGCTTTCGAGCAGGAAAATGTAGTATGGCAAAGTTTCCCCTCAGCACTTTGAAGATAACCCTGACATTCATTCTACCTTCAGTCTAATTGTTGTTCTTTTTGTTTTGACAATCTGGTATTTTTCTTTGGTATCTTTAACAAATGTCTTTATTCTTAATGTCCTATAGTTTTACTTCTGCATCTAGACACGGATTTTTTAAAGATTTTCTTTATATTCGGATCTAATTTTTTTTAGGATTCAGGATTTTTCTGTACACCTGAATAATTCTCCGTAATTATCCTTCAAATTTTGCTGCTTCACTATTTTCCCTTGTGTCTCCTTCTAGGAATCCTATTAGATGTTTTTTTGAGCTGTTAAGTGTATCTTCTGTTCGCCTTAATATTTTTACATATTTCGAATTTTCTGATATCTGAGCCGTGTCTTTTGAGAATTCTCAGAACAATTTTAACATTCTTTTATGTTTTTTCCAGATCAGAACTTATTTCTATTCATATTTTAATTGTAATAAATGTGTTTTCATTTATCTGATTTATTTTTGTCTTTTTCTATCTACCTGCTTTTTAAAAACTTCTACCCATATGGTTTTATGTTTTCTTATTGTTTCAGGTAAAGACATCTCTTAATTTACTTTTGATATATTTGAAACATGCACTAATTTTCTGTTTGATTTTCTCGACTATTTTTTTTTTTGGAATTGAGAATTTTGTTTGCAGACTAATTAGATACGTGACTTTCTAGCTCCTGTGAGTGATTCAGGTCCTTAATCCTGTAACTATATTAAGGGCATAAAAAATTAAATCTCGAGGCCAACAGGCAGCCAAACCCTAATTCCAAATAAAGTCATCTGGAAAGTAAACATGAGAGCACTTTAAAAATATTGTAGAAGGACTGTGGGTAGCTGAAGATAGTGTTTGAAGCCTGGGTCTGTGCCATCCTCAGCATTAAAGACAAAATATATGACCAAAGTCTAGTAGAATATTTCAAAAATCTAAGACTGAGTGGAAGTGTGAAAACTAAATTTAATTTGTTATTTCTGATTACTTATTTCAGTAAAAGGTTATAACTATGTAATAGTGTCAAACATTTAACTGTGTGCTCTTAATAGAGTGGTTTTAAGTCATTTCCTGTTTTGATTCATGTGTTTATTGTTTAAACATGTTGTATTTGAGTGCCTGAAAGGATGCTATTATGTGTGATGGATGATGCCACTTTATGAAAGCTGGAAAAGTTACTGAGATGCCACATTTTACATTCTCTTTGATGGACTTAAACAGATGATCTATGCAAAGCCTGGTATATGGCTATGGGGGAAAAGTAAACTGACAGCAAGAAAGATCTTGTGTCAGCAGGACATGGAAATCATAGGGTAGTAGTCAACTGCATGAAAAGGGTGAAGCAACTTCAAATCTATCTAAAGTCCTTAGTCAGTCATCTAGAAAATTGTTAACAATAAATTGAATCCAGGGCCAACTATGTAAGCAGAGATGATGGAAAAATCCAGAAATAACATGAAAGCAATAAGTAGATTTAGAAGAGGATTCTGGCTAAACAAGATACAAATGGGTTCATTAAACATGTATCAATATAAAGGAGACGCCTATCATTGAATTTTAACTGGATATAAACACTCATTGGTAAAGTTGGTCTTTTTCTTCTTTTTTCATGTTTGTTTTTAAGCAGGCAGTACGACTAAATTTCAGTCAGACAAAATCAATACAACTAATAAGGAAAAATGACAATGTTAGTGTTATTGATAAAGATAAACCCAAGTGGAGTTTGGATGGGCTCAGTATTGTAAGAAAAAGGAGAAATTTGATGCCAGAACATATGAAATCAAGTCCAAAGCATGTGCAAAATAAAATGCTTAGATGCATTTTTTGGGAAGTTTTATACCCATGTAGGAGTAGTTTAAAGTCATAAAGTAATAAGGAGGATTAGATTGAAAGCACTGCCCAAACTAAAAGTCTAAGAAAATATAATGTAATTATAATTAATTCTTTATTTTGTAACTAACTAAAGATGGCATGCATTTATAAGGATTTATTATATAATGCAATACACTTTGGTCTGGACACAATTTCACTAGAAATACTGATTTCTCTTGTTTATATGTAGAAGTAATCTAGAAAGTGATCTTTTTATCCTGGAAAAAAAATAAATCATTTAACCTCTGAGTCTAGGATCAAAAGAAAGCAGTACTGAGTAAAGGCTTCTTTAGAAGTCCCTTTTTTTTTTTTTTTTTGGAATGTGATCTCAGAGGCAGGGTAAGGGACAGAGGAGAGATGCAAGGAAGGACATGGGTACCATAAAGGAAGCGTTATCAAATTGACCACGGCTCTGGGTGACTACTGGCTAGACCCAGCACTGGGAGATAGAATTGGAGAAGTATTTATCCATCAGCTCTTTCTCCTTATTGTCTAAGAGTTCACCCATTAGGGCATTAACTCTATTCATCTCATATGGATAGCTGCTGAATAGGCTTTGTCAGAAGTCTATGCCACAGTGATAACACAGA